AGAGGGGAGGCTGAGGGTTAGAGTTGAGAGTTGAAATCCCTGACCCAGCACAAATTTGTAAAAGAAAATTCCCTTTTTTTCCCCACAGCAAGATAATCAGTCTCATACCTTTGGAGCTGTGTGCTTCTACAGATGTTTTCCTGGTACTTGTTCTTTGATAATCTTGCTTAAGTGTACAGTCAGACTACAAGCCTATGACTTTGCTTTCTTTCCCTTAAAACTTCTCCTATTAGATTAATTGAACAAGAACATGAATTGTAACCGAATTATTTACCCACCCAATTCTTTCCAATCCTATTGCTGCATTCTGCTGAAATCACCTGCCAGCAATCTAAAAGGAAATATTTGGTTCATTCCTGACCACAAATCAGATGCCAAATTTACTTCCTATAGCATGTAAATTATGTAGGGACCAAGATGCCTTTCTCCATGTCCAATCAATAGCTTTCTTCTTTTTCCATTAATTCCTCTATTACATACCTGCTGCAAACATTACTTGGGGGACAGAGTGAATTTCAGTCTACTCTGTGATAACTACTAAAGACTTCTAGGAAGTTCTTTAAAGGTAAATATATTTTCCTTATAGGTTTCCAAAAAGGACACGTTTATACCTTACTGCAGACTGAATTATTCAAGATTAAAGATTTTTGTTTTTAAAAAGTTACAAAAACAGATCTAGGCCTTTACGATTTATATCCTGGGCATTATCATCTGGAAGATGAGACAAAAGAACTTGCAGAAAAACTTGTGATTAAACACAGATTCTAATAATGGTCCTGAACAGACAACATGTAGTCTTGCTGTCAATATCCTCCCAGGTTACCTGTGCAAGATAATGACTCTATTGTGACATTCTAGAAAATCCACTGGTGTGCTTTATAAAAGCAAGAAAAAAGCAACTGCATTCCAAAAGCTTAGATTCCTGTATTTCTCAGATGCAATTCCTGGTCACAGTTAGAAATAACAAGGCTTTTTACAGATAAGCTATCCATGCTATACAGCAAATCCTTGGTTATCTGACCCCCTTTGGAAACTACGTGATGAAAAGCAATTCAGATTACTGGATCTCTTTTGATACATGAAACCACAGATTCTTGTGAAGAATATACATCCTCAACATAATGCATTATTTAAAACACCAAACTTAACATGACCTCTATTAAATACTGTAAAACTTAAGAATACAAGGAGTTACGAGTTACTGTATTAAACTTAAAAGTAAAGACATGGTACTATAGTAAATAAAAAGTAAAGAGAGAAGAGTTTATTTTACTAACTTATAACTGGTAGTATTACATAACAAAGCTTCTCTTCACATAATCCAAGATTTGGATAACCAAGCTTCAGATAACCAAGGATGTACTGTACAAACCGTACCATGTAATGCTCTAGTTAAACACCTCCCCTGATAAATCTACTATCCTGCTATTGAATAAAAGGGAATCAGAAATAAAATGTTGAAGTTTATAAAGTTCAGACTGCAAACAATGTGTATTCTAGTCTAACTATGCTTTCAGATACAACTGGCTTAATAATTAGTAAAACAATACAAAGACAGTTTTGGTTAAGGTGTTTTGAAAAACATCATTAAAACTAATTATTATTATTCTCTTTCTCTTAGACTTTGGCAAGTTTTTATTGTTTGGTGATTTTTTTATGTACTTTTCTGATTGACAAATGATGATATTTTGGGTTTTGGAAAGCTAAGTCAGGAAACACCATCATGAATAATAGGTGTATGTGTAGTCAAATGCTAATTTCATACTAGTCTAATTAGCTAGCAGGCTTCAGCATTTCAACATGGCACTGAAACAAATTCAAATGTGTAAATGGTAAATATTTTGAGTAAGAATAGATTCCACAGGCTAAATAACTTACACGTGCTATCAATTCTCATGGTGTAGGCCATATGTTAGCTAACGGAAAGGGCAAAAAGACATTTTTCCAAAAGTATAAAATAGCTTGCTATATGGTTACATTGAATCTTTTTTATAAAAGATTGTTGAATATTTTTCAATATTACTACACTAGACTAACTGGACCACTGGTTTGATCTGGTACAGTACTCTTGGTGTATATAAATATGTACATACATAGCAAAAACTTCTAACTGGATGGTACCTAAATTTCATTAAATCTCTGCAACTGGGATTCTATACAGTGTCATGGGCACATTTTTTCTTTTAGTGTGCATCTTGTACAGATTAGCTACAACAGTTGTATATGAAGACATAGTAGTTTTATTTACCTGGTATAGAGAGATTATATATAGTGGAATACACTACTATAAACACAGCACATTGATATAAAGATATAGGCTAGTCTACTCTTGAGGTATACCAACTGCTCTTCTTAACTATCAGAAAAAAATAAATCAACTGTTTTGGGTCAACATGCAGCTTGGGTACTGTTGGAACAGATCTTTATGTTAGCACCGTTCATCTCCAGTGTTCTAGGTGTGCACTAATTTATGCTCTTCTCAGAAAGGAAGTCTTACCCACACTGATTCAAAATACAGTACCAAGGACAGACTAGGTCCTGATAGATTTCTTTCAAAAAATTCACTCTACCATCCTTTGGACATCTGCCTGCAAAAACATGCATTCACAGAGAAAACAATTTTTCACAGTGGAGTCAAATACCTTACCTTCCAAAATGCACAGTTTAGATTTGTGTGGCACAAGAGACAGAAGTTAACTAGCAACTGAATCAGTTCCTAATAAGTTACGGTCAAGGTCTAGCTAGAGTAGGGAAAAACTGTCAAACCAGCAAACAAAGGTGCTTCCATATGCTGTTAGACAGAAAGCCGGATATGTCACTGAGCACCAAAAATATTGTTTTTAATCTTTATTGCCTTTATTTGTCTTATACAATAAATACTATATTTATTGATGGGGAGAGGAGTTACTTGGGCTGGAAAAGGATACTCCTTCGATTTGTGTTTACCTTAAGTTTATCATATTAATTTATAACTGAGCAAACCATGAAATCACATAGTTAATGTGGAATCTCTACAATACCATTTTACAGAAGAGAGATGCAGAGCTAAGAACTTCCTGAAGGACTTTGTCAAAAGACAACTGAGCATTCCAGATTTCAGTTTATTAGTAAAAATGCATTCAGTTGTGTTCTCATTATGAACTATTCAATCTGTAGGATAAATGAGTAAGTTTAAAAAGGCACAAATTAATCAGAGGTAATTATTTGAGACCATTAACTTTTCCAAAGGCTGTATTATTCTGTCCTTAATTTTATATGTTATTGGGATGGAGCTCAGAACTATAGCTTGAGATCACAATTTCCTTGTTCAAGATGGTACTATATAGATAACTTTCTTCAGAAAGTTATTTTTCTAAGAAACATCATCTATCTTTTAATACCCTTCAGTTACTTATGAATTTCTACTTGCAGCTTGCTATTTTAATTGAATTCCTTAAACAGTAATTATATCCTTAAGTTCTTCTCTAAATGTTACACTATGATTACTTGTAAAAATAACTGTGTTAACCTAACCCAGTAAAGAAAATGGAGATTTCTCCCCATAATCTAATGTAAGAGCACATCATGAGCTGAAGTCCTGTTGTTTTTTTAAGATTAGGAACTAGTGTATGGCACTTCTTCATTCACTCCCATCTTCATCTGCGAAGTACTAAAGGCGAGTAGAGAATTATTGTATGGGAAAGACAATTTAAATGTGCAAGTTCCTGATTTTCTGTTGCTGCTGGTGCTTGTTGCCTTGAACTTCTGCATTTAAGTTCCGTTTGTTTCTGTTTGTAAGAGGGAGCCAATAATTTCGAGCCTCCTAAAGTATATGGATGGCTCCTTTTTGCCACTATACCAAATCCTAAATTACAACTACAGTAAACAAAATGTTGCACAACTTTGATAAAAACTCACTTTCAAATACCTAGCATTTTCCGTGAGTTAAAGTGGTTCAAAGTTATCCTTAATCTATGATATTTTAAATATGCATGAATCATCTTAATATATCTGACCATTTAAAGTTTATACCCTGCCACTTCTGTTTACATGTCTTATAAATTTTGTTTTCCTAAAGACTCCCTTTCTTGGGTTCAGTGTTACTCTGGCTTTACCATATCTTCCAAATATAAAGCAATATCAGCCTATCTTTAAGAATGGTGGCAATAAGCCTACCAAAAAAGTCAACCTTTGCAATATACGACTGCTCAAGGCACAGTGGTGGTAATCAACACCCTTATTTTAAGGGTTTCTGACTGGACCATTCAAGAACTGAACCTCACGCGTGGCTTTGGAATATAAAGCAATTTTACATGTTTTGGATTTCTCATCATTTTACCAGAGACTGGTTAGTAACAATTTTTGTACTTAAAAGACACAAGCAAGGGAAAATGTTTCTTTCAAGCAGATAAATATATTTAAAACTATTAAACGTATACAGTGTACAATTAAAATACATTTTTCTTCATTGCGTGCACCAAGTCACATTTTTAGTTCAAAATGTTAGACTTGATGCAATCCAGTAAATACTAGTCTTTGCTGCTTCTAGTCCAGGGGTGGGCAAAATGGCAGATCCAGCCAGCAGCCAAACTCCATTTCCCAGTAGCTCCTGCCGAGCTCCAGCAGGCAGCAGATCACAGCTCTGCCCCGCTCTGGACCACACTGTCACTGCCACAAAAGATCCCAGTCCTGGAGCAGCTCCCCACCCAGCTACATGTTGTGCCAGCACTGCTGGGGCTGGTCTCCATGGAAACCCTGGCCCCACACTGTCACAGCACCACTGCTCCTGGGGTCTCCATGGAAACCACCTGCAGCAACACAGGCAGGAGCTGCTGGGAAATGGAGTCTCCCATGGGCCCAATCCAGCCTGCGGGCCAGACTTTGTCAGCCCCTAGTCTAGTCCAAACTAGACTCCTTAGAAAGGAGTCCTTCACATGACTACACAGGTGCTGAATTCATTCACTCTCTGTAACAAACTATTTATCTGAGCAATAAACATAAGATTTAGACAACAGCCTTACCTGAAGCTGCCATAGACTATGAGAAGAATGGAAATCAGGAACGTAGATACTTGACTAGAATCCACAAGAGAATATGCCCTGAAATTGAGACAGAGAGAAAAATGTACAGATGTGTCACTATAGATTGTCACTTCTGAATGTCATTTGATAATTTTCTGTCTTATAATAACAACACACACAGGATAATCGCTAAGTCACCAGACTATCTATTTCTTCAGATCTCAAATAAAAAACTTAAGAGGTTTATTAAGTAACCTACGGTATTCAATGCCAGACTTGAAAGGGTTTTTTTGCAACATTCAAGAGTAATCAAACAAAGCTTGTGATAACTATCACTACACACAGAAGCTTTTGTCAAAGCATGTGGGAAGAGAAAGATGCTTCAATTATAACTAATAAACCTTGCTCAAGGGATACACCAGACAGCCTGTTTAAGTCCTATGACAGAAGGAGTTTAACAAATAATAACTAAATGTAATCACAGGGACCAAGGGTCACTATCACAGAAGCAACAGTTGTAGTACACATCCTTAGTTGCACTGCCATTACACCTTGCATACAAGAGGAAGATATTTTAATAGATGATTTCTGATGAAAGTTTCAACACCGGATGACTAAAAAGCAACCAACTTATCTGCCTACATTTCCCCAGAAGATAAA